CTATCATTTTAATTTAAATAATTTAATTGCTACATTTTAATTTCAGTTTTAATTTGACCATTTTGTCAAAATTTTCTCTAATATTTTCCGTAATCAAAAGAGATTGACAGGTATCTTAAAATTATTAATTTTATCTCTAACTTAAATAAAAGAACTAAATTAATATTTGATTTAAAGTATTTAAACTAAATTATTAAATTTAAAATTACAGAAGTTTCAGTCAAAATAGAAGAGTTAAATGTATAATTTGCTACACTTGTCCTTTGAATTTTATTAATTCAAACTATAATACTCTATTGAGCAATGTTAGAAATTTTAAATATTTTATTAAATGTTCTATCAAATATTTTATATGAGTATATGATTTACATAGTGTGAGTCTCATATCCATGTAAAATATTTAGTAGAATATTTATTAAAACATTTGGGTAGCGTTTGGTAGAGCTTTCTAACTATGATTTGAGAATAAGATTGCTTGTTTCCATTTTTCAAAAAACACTTTTCAGAAAATTCTACTTTCTTATTTTTTGTGTTTTTTTATTTTTATTGAATTTTTTTAAGGGCAAACTTCACTCTCCACTTTACCCCCCTTATGGTTTGGATCGTGTGTGGTTTACCTCCTGACGTTTGAAAATCACCACATAATCCCTGTGATTAGGGGTGTTTGCAGTTCGGATTTCGACGGTTTGCGAATCGGTTCGGACCCGCCCGCATCTATGCGTTTTAGGGAAAAGACAACCCGCAACCGCCCGCAGTGTGGTTTGCGGTTTGTGCGGATAGAGTTCGCGGATGTGCGGGCGGTTGCGGGCAGTTTGCTGAAGAGTGGTTGGCTGGATTAAACCAACACTGTATACTCCTCAGCCGAAGTAAGTATGTCGGCTAAGGAGTGGTTGGCTGGCCAGAATAGTTTATAAAGCCAAAGCCGAAACAACAGTTGAAGTAAGGAAAGACATTACAAATGCAAGCACACACAACAACCGGAATAAGAGTTGTGTAAAATTTTCATTCTAAGAGAAGTCATTACAAAAGGGCATAGTTCGGTTACAAAGGAGAAAAAGTAAAAAATTAAGAGAAAAGTTCATCAATTTCAGCATCGAAAGCTGCATCATCACCAACTCGAAGACCGGTCTCAAGAGGAAGCTCATTCTCGGCTGCCATGATTCCTTCGGTTGGAACCACATCTTCATTCGGCTGCTCGTTAGGAAGGCCCTCTACCATGGGTTCCAACCGAAGTGATGGGTCGGCACCACCAACCGGAATGTCTTCAGGAGCAGAGGAGTCTTCAGTGTCAGAGTCCTCCAAAAACTCTTGTTGCAGAGCGTCTGCATACGCCGCAAGGGACTTCGGTATGAAGTATTCTGGAGGGTTGTAGACCTCGGCCTGTTGGTCATGACCGAGCTGCTCAACAGCCGCCCTCCAGCCACATCTGAAGAACAACTCCTTGGCAGCATCACATTGTTTCACATAGGCTTCCTCCGCCTCTTTGTAACCCCACTTGTGCGCCTCCTTTTCGGCCGCCTCTGTGTTCTTCTTTAGTTCGCTTATTTCGGCGTCCTTTCTCTTCTCAAGCTTCAACAACTCCCGCAAATACTTGTCCTTCATAACGATGGCAGCTTTCTGCTTCTCCGCTTCCGCCGAATTAACTAGATCGGCAAGACGGCCGTTCTCTGCTTCTAGCTCGGCCATTCTCTTTTCGGCTTGTAGTAGTTCGGCCGACTTTGCTTCGGCTTCCGCCATCGCCTGCCTTATCGGCAAGACGACCATTCTCCGCTTCTAGCTCGGCCATTCTCTTTTTGGCTTGTAGTAGTTCGGCCGACTTTGCATCGGCTTCCGCCATCGCCTGCCTTGTGGTTTTGCGGAGTTCTTGGACTTTCCTATAAGTGACATTGTTCTTTTGCAAGGCCTGGAAAAATTTACCAAGATCATCTCAGCCGAAGTAAAAGTTAGAAAAATTTAGACAGGCAAAAACAGACAGAGCTACTTACCAAGATCATGGACTTCGATGTGGCCCGGATTGACTTCATTTCAGTATTTAGTTGCTTTAAGTGGTGCTCCATATCCTTGGGGAGGCACACACTTTTGGCCAAGTTAAAGGCCAATTGATGATCTTTTTCGGCCACGACCGAATCAGTGGCCTTGATATCTCGGTCGTTGAAGGTCAGCAGGGGAGCCCACTTCGGAGATTCAGGTCGGTCAGTTTGCTCCGGTTGGGTTGAAGGTTGAGGACTTTGTGGGATGGATTCGACCTCATCAACAAGTTGCTGTTCGGTCGGTGTAGATCGGGCGCGTTTGGAGGGCCGAGATGAAGAAGGTCGTTGAGAAGGGAGGGCCACAACGGCAGGCTGAACCTCAACCGTCGGTGGTACTTCGGCTCTGGTCGTCGAGGTTAGAAGGGCCCTGACTCTGCTCCTCTTAGCCATTTCTTCTTCAGCGGTTAGTGCAACTAGTCTTATTTCGGGCAATGCTGGGTCCGGCTCTGGGGCTTCTTCAAGGAGAAAATCGGTCACCTTTGCTTTCCGGCGACCGCTATACCGGTAGGTCGGCTCAAAGTTCAAAAGCTTAGCCCAACTCCTCTCTTGACACCGAAGTGCGGCTCGCAGGACTACAAGGTTGGGATAATTGTACAGGGAACGGAGATGGGCGTAATCTGCAAAAAAAACAAGTGTTAGTTCGGTTAATAGACTAACAAAAATCGAAATAAAATGCAAGGAAGAAGACCAAAGTTAAATTACCAGGCTCTCCCATTTTCCAATTTATAGGTCGGCCTGGAATTTGGGCTTGAAAATCCTCGAAATTCCCAGAGACCCAGAAGAAGTCATCATCATTAAGGTCTTTGTCCGGTGTGTGCTTAATTATCTTCTCTCGGCGGCGGCGAATCCTAAGGTAATAAACCCACCCAGCATTCTTCGAGCCGATGGAATACTAATGGAATATTTCGGCTAGGCCGAGGTTTAAACCGGTCTGGTGATTTAGGGCGGTTATTCCCATTATGATACGGTATGTATTGGTGGACAGTTGGGTGGGGCATAACCTAGTTTGTCTAAGAAATTCGCAGATTAGCGGCTGGACAGGAAACCGTAGTCCGGTTTCTATTATGGATTGAAGGGTAAAAGGGACGAAGCCTTCATTATTCCAGGGAGTAGCATCTTTCTTGGCCAATACCAGTTGGACATCATCAGGAATCTGGTAGTCCTGCCTAAATTCGGCCATGCCACCAGGGGTTTCGACTAAATATCTATACTTACCCATTTGTTGTATAAATTACGAATTAATTATTTCGGTACAAAAATTTGGCTCAGTAGCTCGGTTGAGCACACGCAGGAGGGTCTGGGCAACCTAAGTCTGCAAGGTAGAAAACCAAGGGGTTAAGCACAGATCGATTGGACCGCGCTACAAATTATAAGCAAGATATACAAATCCTACTTCGGCTTACTGGGCTGGTTCTACCTCGGCTCTTCAGAATGTTTGTTAGCACGGTTTTGAGCACATTAGACCGGTTTAACGTCTAGGGGCGGCTTTCTGAGTTCGGTCTAAAAAACTAAGAAAGCTGGTCTAGTCCCAAGGCCTAAAACGGTTACAGTATGAGGAAAATTACTTCGGTTGAGTTCTTAGGGGCGGCTTTCTGAGTTCGGTTTAAGAACTAAGAAAGCCGGCTTGGCCCCAAAATCCTAGCTCGGTTATAGACCGAAGTACCTAGTTCGGTATGAGCAAGCTTGTTCGGTGATCCTATCTTGGCTAGAGTGGGTCAAAAGAAACTAATGATATTCCTAGTTCTAGTCCGGTTATGTTCTAAATCTATTCACATACATGACACAAACAATATCCAAGTTCGGTTGGGACGTGATTCTGGATCAAAATCGAAATTTTTTCTGTAGGGTATATGACATATACATAGAGTTCTAATGGTTTCTCCATAAAAGTACAAAAGCAAAACAGAAATGGACAAACTGTTTGCAAAAAACATACAGAGCATGGAAAGCAAAGTACGAAAACAAAGGAAGCAAGTGAGTCTACTTACCAGGTGGAAGAAGTGGGATCTGATGTTGGGAAAATGGCAGCAGAATCAGTTCTCAAGAGTGAAGGAAGAACACGAAACGGCAAGAACACAGAGAGAGGAGATGAAGAATGGAAGGTGAATGATCCGAGAAAAAGAAGGGTTGTTTTGTAAAAAGGGAGAGAGAAAAAAGGCGGCAAAAAGAGGCGGGAATTGTACGAAATTTCTGCAGGACGGCGTAACAGTTGGCCACGGCTTATCAGAACCTGCCACGTGTCACTGGAACGGGAAGCGTTACAGACGCTATGATTGAAGAGACGTTTTGACCGGACATAGTGTTACCCGAGGTAAACTTAGTTCGGCTGGAAAGGCTAAAAGGGTTTTTTAGCTCGGCTGAAAAAGCGTAACAAACTCTAGCTCGGCCAAAAGGCTGGTAATCCCAATCATGTGGCACAGATGGAATTAAGGGGCAATTGAGAGGGTAATTTTTGGGAAAAATTGGGCCGAGCCGCGAGTTGGGCATTGAGGCCCAAAACGCGAAGGACTAAGTAAGAAGGCCGCAATAGATACTCCGGCCCAGAAGGGCAAAGTTACTCCGGCCTTGGGAAGACAAAGTTACTTCGGCCCAAGGAAAATCACCTTGGAGGAGGTAATTGAACACAATCTTTCTGAATACATTGAGCTTTGTCTATTTGTCAAGTTTTCTGACTTAGGCATCGGAGAGGTTTCCGGCACACACCCGCCGGCTAGCTCACGTTTGTGTTTTCAGGTGACAAAGCGACGTCGTACGGAGGAGCGTGGACTTGGTCAACAGGATTATACGAGGAGAATTATTTCCTCCCCGTACAATATAGATGATACAGATTTATCAACATATATATATATTGATACAGATTTATATATATATATATATATACAGATTTAATAATGTATATATTATCAATATATATATAGACGATACAGATCTGTATATATATACAGAGAGAGAGAGAGAGAGAGAGCATACCTGTCGTCCTCGCCGCAGCAGCACCGCACCACCGCACCACCGTTCGCCGTTCGGCTTCGTAGGGATTTAGGGCAAAGAAATTGGTTTGAAACTTTTAGGGATTTGGATTACGTTTTTGATCGAGCGGCAAGATGAATAGGGAAGGGGGCAAAAAAAATTTCACTTTTTGCGGCGGTAGGTTTTACACCGTCGCAAATGGCAAGAATTTTATGCATAAAACGGTGCCGTTTAAATTAGACTTTTTTGCGACGGACAATTGCCGTCGCAATAAGTAAACTATTTGCGACAGCAAACGTACGCCGTCTCAAAACATTTCTTTTTGCGACGGTAAAAACATCCGTCGCTAATACTGATGCATTTACTCCCTATCCGCGCATTTTTTATTACCGACGGGGATAACGCCGTCGCTAAATCCTTCATTTGCGACGGTTTATGCTGCCGTCGCAAAAAACCATTTTTTGCGACGAGAAAACCGCCGTCGCTAATGCTTCCATGTTTTTTACCCCCTTTTCTTGTAGTGTTAGAAGTCAAGGAGAAAGAAAACAAAAAAAAAGAGAGTTTTCTGTGTGTGGCGTGAGTAAGAGAGAGAGAGAGAGGGGAGAAGGTTATGTGTGCGGTCATGTGAGTGCAAGTCGAGAGAGAAAAAGGAGAGGAGGGAAAAAGAAGAAAAAGATTAGGGTTTTGTTTTGATGGTTCTATTGATTCTTTAAATAATTTTTTAATCTCTAAAAAAATATTGTGAGTACAAAACTCACTTCTCTTGATTTATATTTAATTCATTGTTTTTATTTATTTATTTTTAATTATTTGATGTTAGTTTGATTTTGTATTTATATAAAAATGATAGATTGATTTTAATTATTTTGATTAATTGTATATGTAAGGTTTAAGGTTTTAGATGATTGATTAATTTTAATTATTTTGTTTAGTTGTATATGTAAGATTTAGGGTTTTTAGTTGATTGATTGATTTTAATTATTTTACTTAGTTATGTATGGCAGGTTTAGGGTTTTTATATGAATTTATTTTATGTTTGTAATCTCACTCATAGTTATATGAAATTAAAATTAATTAGGAACTCATAGATAAATTCCTTATACTTCACCATGACTCCATGGATTATTGTTTTATTTGAGTGTTGGTGAGCAAAGAGTGTATAAAAAAAAAGTAAGGATTATGGGATTTATTTAAATGCCTTAGGCTTGGCATTGTTATGTTTATTCTCATGAGTGAGATGTGTATAAATATATATATATTGTCGTCTCGTTCTTATGAGTAGATGAGTGTTTTGATTTACGCACGTACGTATATGTTAACCATCCGGGGAATGTGAGTCAAACTCGGGACGATATCCCCGTGTAAGTTTGGCGTCGGAGCGGTGTTAGGTATACGGGAGGCACATGGGATATATGTGTAGGCCGGAAGTGAAAGGCCGAAGTGATAGAGTTAAGGTACAAGGAATTTAATTATGATTTTATTAGTATAGTGTGAATTACATTGATTTGCACATCTTGAAAAATAGTAAACGATCTCAATAAATTATGAAATTTGAGTAGAGGCATGTATACGTGATTCTAGACAACTTTTGTGTTTTAGCTTTCTATTAAAAAGATCGATTAGAACTTATAATCGGATGATCTTGATTATTGGCCCTGTTTGGTAGAGCTGTGGAAAAGTGCTTATAGCTTATGTCTAAACAGCTTATAGCTTATAACTTTCAGCTTAAGCTGATTTCCAGCTTATTCTTAAAGCATCTCCTGCCCCACTCAAAGAATAAGTTGTTTTCTGACTTCCACAAAGCTATAAGTTATAAGCTATAAGCTAAACCAAACACATCAAAATAACTTAAATTAAGCTGAAAGCTGAAATAAGCTGAAATTAAGCTATACCAAACAGGGCCATTGTCGGTTTGATTCATTTTAGCAATGCAAATTTTAGAGGCTGTTTTAACCCACGAAACGAGCTCATTTTTATTGGTTTCCCCAATACTAAAGTAAAACATTATTCTACACACTTTTAATGTTTTGAACTTTTCCAGAAAAAAACATCTTAGGACAGTTTTTGTTCATTTTCAGCTTCATATTTTTCGATTGAATTCCGTCTAGATTTTTCTATCAAGTTTTTCTCTCAACCTGTGCAGTTTCTGTTAAATTCGTTCGCATTGTCTTTTAGGAAATTTGATTATGTAATTTTAGAGGCTGTTTTAACCCACGAAACGAGCTCATTTTTATTGGTTTCCTCAATACTAAAGTAAAACATTATTCTACACACTTTTAATGTTTTGAACATTTCCAGAAAAAAACATCTTAGGACAGTTTTTGTTCGTTTTCAGCTTCATATTTTTCGATTGAATTCCGTCTAGATTTTTCTATCAAGTTTTTCTCTCAACCTGTGCAGTTTCTGTTAAATTCGTTCGCATTGTCTTTTAGGAAATTTGATTATGTACAACTTTTGTTCTTTGAGTTTTGGTCAATTAGAATTATTTAAGTATGCAACGATGCATTTTTATACTTCTTCAGCAAGTTACTTATGATTAAATTATACTAACTTTGTTTTTTTGCAGGATGGTGGGTCTTACTAATTTTTTTATGCAGGGCTGACCCACCATATTTTTATTTCTATTTTCTTTATTTTATAATCAATTTATATTTCATTGTGTACGGACAAGAAACTAAATGTCACCGTATCTTGGGAAACTACCTATTCGTCTCAGTACGGTTGGAATTACTTGTCTTGTCCCGTAATAAGAATTAAATGTATTTTTATTTGTGTCTAGTGGACAAGTGGGTGTTAAATCTTGTACTCATACCAGTATACCTGTATACTGGCCCTTTTTGTCTCTTGGCAACTTGGGTACATTCTGTTTGAGCGCAGTCAAGCTTCTTTTGCAAGATTAGTTGGGGCTACGGTGGTGAAGTGGAATTACTATAGTCGTAGGACATGTCGTTTGGACTTCTTTTGTTTGCTTGAGCTTAAGGTTGATATTAGTTTATGTATTTTTTTTTTATGACTTTAGTATTGGAATAATTTGGCATGATTTGTAACCGTACTTTATTTAAGTTATTTTGACTAGTTGTTGCTACCTTAATGTTGAGGTATTGGTTAGTTATAAGATTATGGTGGATGGTTTGGTTGGCGTTTAGTTTTTTTTGTTTCACTCCTAGGGTTTGGATGATGGAACATTGAATGGGGTTTAGTCCTAATGCAATATTTAATTGTCCAAATTTTGGGGCGTGACAGTTTGGTATTAGAGCTCTAGGTTACCCTAGACTTGTGAGAGTTCAGGTGATCCTTGGATTGTGGAAACATGGGTTAGCTGATTTAGTTTGGTGGTTGTATTTATTCTAAGTATTTAAGAACGAATTCTTCATATGTGCTTAACTTGAAGGTGATGGCTAGAAGGTATCTTTAATCTTTTTTCAAGAACCCATTAGAGTACTTTTTGATATTGGTGTCTCTCATTGTTTCATATCTAGGCAGTTTGTAGAAAGAGAATATATCGTAACTACCTTCTTGTCTAGACCTATTCGTGTTGAGACTCCTTTAAGAGGGGCAGTAACTCTTTATGAGATGTGTAAAGATTTTGAGATTGACTTTGCAGACAAAGTATTGTATGCGGATCTAATTGTGTTAGGGTTTGAGGGGTTTGTAATTATTTTGGGTATGGATTGGCTGCGAAAACACTTTGTGACTCTAGATTGTGCTAGAAAGACTGTAAATATAGATATTCCCGGTATGTCACGGCTTACCCACACTTCTAGCGATGGAGAAGAGTCGGTGATGACGAGCTTTCTGTGCTCAGTAGAAATCCCTAAGCAGGATATTAGTGAGGTAGAAGTGGTGTGTGAGTTTGAGGATGTATTTCAGGAGATACCTGGACCTCCACCTCGTCGGGTAATAGAATTTCGCATTGACCTAGTGCCGGGAACTGCACCAATTTCTAAGGCGGCATACAGAATGGCGCCTAAAGAGCTTGTGGAGATGAAGAAACAGCTGGAAGAGATGTTTCAGAAAATGTTCATTCGTTCAAGTAACTCCCCATGGGGAGCACCCGCGATCTTTGTCTCAAAGAAAGATGGCACTCTCCGCATGTACATAGATTACAGAGAGCTAAACAAGGTGACTATCAAGAACAAGTATCCGCTACCTAGAATTGATGACTTGTTTGATCAGTTGAAGGGGGCAACCATGTTCTCTCAGTTTGATCTCAGAACGAGTTACCATCAGATGGGTGTGTCAGAGAAAAGTATACCGCTTACTGCTTTTCAGACCTGGTATGGGTTGTACGAATTTCCTGTAATGCCTTTTGGTTTGACCAATGTTCCTGCCTATTTCATGGACTTGATGAACAGAATTTTTCAACCGTATCTAGATAAGTTTGTGATTATCTTTATAGATGATATCCTGGTGTATTCTACGAATGAGGAGGAACACAGAGAACACTTGAAAGTTGTATTACAGACTTTGGAGGAGCAACAGTTATACGCTAAGTTCAGTAAGTGTCACTTTTGGGAGAAAGAAGTTCGATTTTTGGGGCATGTTGTATCCAATCAAGGGATAGCGGTAGATCTTGAGAAAGTTGTTGCGGTCAAAGAATGGAAGCAGCCCACGAACCCTACAGAGGTGAGAAGGTTTTTAGGACTAGCTGGTTATTACAGAAGATTTATAAAGAAGTTTTCTACTATTGCAGCACCCATGACCAAGTTGACCCGCAAGAGTGTGAAGTTCTTATGGACAGATGATTGTGAGAGAGCTTTCCAGGAGTTAAAGCAGCGGTTAACTACAATTCCAGTGTTAACTATACCGATACAAGGGGAAAAGTTAGTAGTGTTTACTGATGCGAGTGGAACTGGGTCGGGATGTGTGTTGATGCAACATTAGAAGGTTGTATCTTATGTTTCTCGATAATTAAAACCTCATGAGAGACAATACACTACTCATGACTTAGAGTTGTCAGGAGTTGTTTTTGCATTTAAAGTGTGGCGACACTACTTGTTTGAGGAGCGCTTTGAGTTGTACACAGATCACAAGAGTCTCAAACATCAATTTTCTCAAAAAGAGTTGAACATGAGGCAGCAGAGGTGGGTTGAATTCGTTAGTAGTTATGATTTCGAGATCCTTTACCATCCGGGGAAAGGAAATGTGGTCGCTAATGCACTTAGTCGACAACATGGGATTATAGCTTCTTTGATGATTCAGGAATGA